AAGCCGGGCTTGAATTCCATGAGGGAAAGGTGAGAAGAGAGTGCATACCAGTCGTGGGGCACAGCGTTTGCAAAGGTACGCAGACAGGAGATGGTATGTCATGAGATATAAATGTATGAGGAACAGCTAGAATACGAGTTTTGAGTAAAGCGGAAGAATGTGCAAATTAAGGCTGGGAAGATGGGCTCAAGTCAGTCTGTGAAGTCTCTAAATGCCGAGCTGAGTTTGGCATCCTCGGGGAGTGTCTGTGTGTATCCATATGTGGTCGGTGTGCATCAGTATGTGGTCAATGTGAGGGTGTCCGGTTGGGTGCGCGTGTGCGCGGACACGTCCCCGGACTGACCTTCCCCTGAGCCCCCGGGCTTCCCGGGTCTCTGATTCTCCTCCCTCTCCTCCGCCCCCAGGCCGCCCAGCCCGGCTTTTTAACCCTTCCCTAGCTCCCGCTTCTGAGCTCTGCAGCGTAGTGGGTCCGGGGTCTCTGGGCAGCGCAGAGTTAAGAATGAAGGGGTGACGTCACGGCGGGGGGCTGGCCGGAGCGCGCGGCCGGAGGGAGGGACGGGGGCGGGGAGGGGGGCGCGTGGCCGAGCTCGGCTACCCCGAAGAGCGGCGCGCGCGCCCCCCCCTTCCCCCCTCCAACCCCCTGCCGGGCCCGGGATCCTCGCTCTGCTGGGCGCTGCTCAGCCCCGGCCGTCAGGGGGGGGGGGGGGGGGGGGGGGGGGGGGGGGAGGAGTCCCGAGCATGCGCCCCCAGCCCGGAGCCCCCAGCCCCGAGCGCAGCGCAGCGCGGCGGCCCGCGGCTCCTCCGGCCCGAGCCGCGAGCCATGTCCCCGCCGCGCTTCGGGGCCCCCAGCAGCTGCTGCGAGCGCCGCCGCCGCCCGGGGAGGAGGAGGTGGAGGGGGCGGAGGCGAAGGCGCAGAAGGCGTGAGTCCCGCGCTCCGGCCCGGGCGCCACTATGAACCTGCCGCCGGGCAGCGGGGGCGGCCCCCAGACCCCGCTGCGCCTCGGTGGCGGCGGCGGCGGCGCCCACCTCCTCGGCTCGCCCTGTGCAGTCAACCGGCCCATTGACATCGTGGGGAAGCGCCGACGGTAACGCCCTGGGGGCGGGCTGGGAGCCCCGATCGGGACCCGGGGGAGGCTGCGGGAGCGGGTCTTCCAGTCTTGCTTCACGTCCTCGGTTCTGCGTGGAAGGGCCTTTCCATCTCGGGCATTCCGTGTTCCACGTTGTGAGGTCCTTTCCTGCTCGGTCGATCTAAGTTGGAAGGTCCATTCCAGTTTTAAGGACCATCCCCTGCCAGCACTGCCATTCGGATCTGAGGTCTCTTTTAGTTCTGACGTTCTCTGTTCTAAGGACCCTCCCTCCCAGCTCTGCTATTCTGATCTAAGGTCCCTTCTAATTCTGACGTTCTCTGTTCTAAGGACTCTCTCATTCTGAGGACTCTGGCATTCTAAGTTCTAAGGTCCCTTCCAGTTCTGACATTGTTTGTTCTATGACACACAGGTATACAGCTCTGACATTCTGGGTTCTATGATCCAAGGACCCTCCCGTATCTGACATTCAGTATTCTAAAGTCTGGTGCCTTCTACATCAGACATTCAGGATTTATTTCAACATCTCTTTCAGCGCTCGAATTCTGTATTACAGGGGACCTCCCAGCCCTGATAGTCTATATTCTAAGGGCTGTTCTGCTCAATTGGGAACCAGGATAAGCACCTTGGGGACTGGGCTCCTGGAATGAGAGCCTGTGTCATCTTGGGCAAGCTTATTCCCCCTCGGGCTTAATTTCCCCAGTTCTGACACTGTTCTAATGCCCCTTTATGTTCAGAATCTCAGTGGAGGCTATGGGTACCACGTGGGTAGGGAGAAACAGGGGCTGCAGCTGTCTTCTGGCCTAAGATTAGCCCGGGGTGGGGGGGGGGGGGGGGAGAAAGAACAAGAGACTGAGAAAGGGGAATCTGATTGGCTTCATAAAGGTGAGGGGCCTATTAGAGAGAGGTGCCCCCTGAAAAGGGAGAACATACTCTGGCTTTCCTGACTGGGAAGAGATGACTGGTTAGAGGCACACTGGAGTGATCTGACTCTTCCACCCTGGGGTGGCCCCTGGGGGACAGAAGTCCAGGCCAGCCCCGGTCCTGGGAGTTTTGCCAGCCCCAAGGACTGTGTAGGGGCAAGGTCAGTACCCTGTCTGCTGGTGGGAAGGAGGGGAAGACAGGTTGAAATCACAGGACCACTGGGCCCCAGAACTCATCTACGTACAGATCTGACTCTTCCTTACTTCCCAAGGCTTCCTCTGGCTCTCTTCCTCAGAGATCATGACACGTGGTAGAAAGGACACCACCTGACCCTTCCAGGAGCAGGCCCTAGGTGGGCAGGTTGGATTGGGAAAACACACAGATAACACAGTACAGACAGATATACATGTAACGAATATGTAGGTATGAGGACACACATGAAGCCAGAGACAAAGGAGTGCATAGATCTCCATACCCACAGACACATGGCCACACAGACTCAGCTATAAAATGCCTAGGTACATGGACATGGGCTCTGTGTGTGTGTGTGTGTGTGTGTGTGTATGTGTGTGTGTGTTAGAAGGCAAGCCCTTTGAGGGCAGGAATTGTTTCACTTTTGTCTTTGCACCTCCAGAGCCTTGTACATTGTAAGTCCTTAATAAATGCCTATTGATTAATTTCCTTCCAGACAACTCAGCTACACCTACACAGAGACTCATTAGGGTGTTGATCTCATACCATGTATGTGTGTGGGCCCCCCCCCCCAGGATATGACTGATACGTGTCCTGGCCTACACCCTGGCATGTGTACTACCATAAACCTTGGCACACATGCTGGTATCTGTTGTGGGTACACAAAACTGGCCTGGCACACCCTCTGGAATATCCACTGCAGTAGCACACATGTTGCTCCAAACCCTGGCACACATATTGGTACATGCACTAATCCACACTGACCCATGCTCTAGGGCACACAAACACTGTCACATGCTGTGGAGCACACACATGCCAGCAGCAGTCCCTGTAGCCTCTGCTCCTCAGAGATGGTCTCACCACAGCCTTTCAGGGTGGACTGTGGTTTCCGGAGAAGTAGCATAGCCCCTCCTCCCCCACACCCTGTGCTCCAGGCTGAGGGTAGGGAGCAGGATAGGAAGACCAGTTCTTTAGAACCTCAAGTCCTCAAAAGGATCCAGTGTTATTGGGTGGGGAGCAGGGCAGGGAGAGACCTGACCACCCTCCAGCCCCTGCACTCGTCCTTATCCTCCCTCCCCAATCTTTGCACACCCTCGACATAGCTGCCCAGGCCTGAGCTCCAGGGGCTCAGGGCATGTGGCCCTGGACTTCTGTGGAGATGTGGAGGGGAGGGAGAGAGATGCAGGGACAGGAACCCAAGGCACTGCTCTTAGCTCTTTGGCCCTGGATTGGAGAGGGAGGGAACAGAGATCTGAGCAGGCCGTAGACTATGATGAAGAAGAGGAGAAGCTCACACCAAGTCCTGGGAATGCAGGCCTGCTGTATCACCTTGACCTCTACTGGTCAGTTACCTGGGGAGGTGGGGAATCCTCCTTGTGGTTGAGCCTAAGTCCGCCTCTGGCTCAGATACGCCATCAATGGGACAGGGGGTGATGGAGTGGAGGACGGATGTCCCTCTGTGAATTGCTAAAGATATCACTGTGCAATCTTCCCTGAGTCTCTGTCTGTCAGTCACCATCTTCCCTTCACACTGAGCCTTCTTTGTGCCTTCCTCATACATTTACCATGTAATGTTGTGCCCTCTTGTTTGGGTCAGCGAAGGGAGTCACTCCTTCACTATACTGAGAGAACCACCAAGGCGGGGGCCGTGTCTTCTCTCAGCTTTGTATCTCTGTATACAGTAGGCACTCAATACATGTTCACTGCACAATCAATAGACTGCCAGAAAAGAGAACCTTTCATTTGAAGGACTCTCGTGGAAGAGGGAGCAGATCTGCTCTGCTTGGCCTCACAGGACTGAACCACAGTGAGGAAAAACTGGGCAGCCTTAGGCTCTGTAAGGAAAAACACTTGCTTAGTAGTCAAAACTATGCCTACATGGGATGGACTGCTTTGGAAGGTAAAGAGTTCACTGTCAGTCACTGGAGGTCTTCAAGAAGAGTCCCCTTCCATTCAGCAAACATTTGTTAAGCCCCTAGGATGTTCAGGGCACTGTGGTAGGCCCTGAGGATACAGAGGAAAATTAATCAGCCTTTCTCCTCTAAAGAGTCAGGTTTGGGGGGAGATGCTCATCAGGGCTGTTGGGAAGGCCTTTGCTGTTGGGGTATGGGTTGGGTTCAGTGTCCCCCAGCTCTAAGCAGCAAAACCTAGAAGAAATGGGAAGACCTCGGCAGAAACCTTAAATGCAGCATCTCTCTGTGTGACCTTGGGAATGTCCTTTCCCCCTTTCTGGCCCTCTGTTTCTTTATTTGTAATAAAAAAAAAATGGAGGTTGAAGTAGATGATCCCTAAGCCCCCGTCTGTCTCTAAGTCCTATGATGTTGAGACTTGAACAAGGTCCGGCCTCTTGAGCCCTGCCTTCCTCTCCAGTGAGAACTTGTGGCCTCTGGGTGACTCATTCCTTCTTTCTCAAAGATGGGTCATCTGGGACCTGAGACAGCCCAACCCATCTATCTCCTGGATGCAGAGGCTGACTTCCCAGGGCAGGCCCAGAGTGTTGACCCCTGGCTTTAAGGATCAAAGGAAGGTCAGACAGCCACAAGGTAGAAGAATGGGACTGGAGAACTCTGGGAACTCTGAGCTTGGCCAGCCTGGGCATGTAGCCAGGTCTCCTTAGCGTGGAGCTTGGTACGGGGCTCATTGCACAGTGGCTACACTCTCTTCACGGCCCTACCAGGAGGGATCGTCCGGCCGATTTCCACGCCACAGTGAAAACGGGGGAGGTCTTTTGGGTGGGAGAAGGCCTGCTGACTGCCTCTGTCCCCTCTCAGCTGCTTTTGCTTCTCCTTCTGCCCGTAGTTTTGATCTTGAGAATGGCCTGTCTTCGGGAAGGAGCCCACTGGATCCCCAGACCAGCCCTGGCTCAGGCCTCGTCATCCAAGGCAACTTCCCTCACAGTCAGAGGCGAGAGTCTTTCCTCTACCGATCGGACAGTGACTATGACCTCTCCCCCAAGGCCATGTCCCGGAATTCCTCCATCGCCAGTGACCTGTGAGTGCCTCTTTGGGATGGGGGGGGGCAGTGTAAGAGAGGGTCCTGGGAGAGAATCCTTTGTTCTTGGATGTCTTTGTTGGGTGAAGGGCTGGGGATGGAGAGAGGAGGAAGGGCCAAACGCCGTAACATTGAACAGTTGTTCAAACCTGAGTTCTAGCCCCAGTTCTCCTAGGGACTCACTGGGTGACCAACCCTTGACCAGTGAGTCTTCCTTTCTGCAAAATGAGGGGATTGGACTTCCCATTCTCCCAGTTCCCTTCTTCTCTGGCACGCTGATTCTGTCATATATGGGGCAGATCGTGAAACCAAGCTGGAGCCGGGAGGCGGAGGGGGTGGATATTCCCTAGATGGTGCTATTGAAGGTAATCAGAGGGGGCTTCCTGGAGGAGGCAGGGCAACACCAACTCTTCTTATCCATAGTCTAGGTTCTGTAAGCATCTGTTGAATGAATAACCGAAGTGAGGTCTAGAAGGATGAGTAAATTTGGAAGGGGGGATGGAGGAGCAGAGGGTGGTGATTAGGAAGGACATTTGTAGCTATACAGACACAGGCAGGGGTCCTACCTCTATGTGTGCACAAGCGTGCCAGTGTGTGTGCACCCAGTCAGCTGCTCAGTGAGAGATGAGTAGATAGGGAATTTGAGTGGAGAGGCTCAGACACCAGATGCCCACGTCGCCCTCAATTCTGCCCATTTTCTTCCTCACTGTCTACCTTACACAGACTTTTTCTCTCTCCTGCAGACATGGAGAAGACATGATTGTGACTCCATTTGCCCAGGTGGGTCTAAGCCTCTTCCCTGGTCCCTGCTGGGAAAAAGTTGGGAGGGGGGCAGGAGGTTGTAGAATGGGCCGGGGTAGAACTCAGAACTCCCTGTTCTCTCTGGTCCTGCCCAGGGGCTGCTAAAGATCCCAGTCCTCTCTTCCCTGGCCAGCCCCACATGTCTCTGCCCTGAATAGTTCTGTCCCAGGGTCCACTCTCCCCCACCCACTAAGCAGGGATGCTGGAGTGGCTCCTCGGGCTGGGAGGTTCAGTGGGTGGTGCCTCCCTTCCCAGGTCTTAGCCAGTCTACGAACGGTCAGGAGCAACTTTGCCGTGCTGACTCGCCTGCAGGACCGTGTGGCCAAGTGAGCGCGTGCGTGTATGGAGGGTTGGGGGAGGGGCATTTGAGGTCCAGCCAGCCTGTCCTGACCCTAAGTTGGCCCTCTGTGTTCCACAGGAGAGTGTCCAGCAGTAACCCACCTTCTGGCTGCCGCACTGTGCCACTCCCAGGTAATGAATCAACAGTTTTAGCTGCTGCCTTCTTATTTCTGAAGACTTGGATTCTAAGTCAGAGTATCCTCTGCTATCTCCACCATCCATTTCCCTCGGCCAGTGGGAAAGTCCTCCCATATCATTCCTTACTTTTCACACACACACACACACACACACACACACACACACACTCACACACTCACACACTCACACACTCACACACTCTCTCTCTCTCTCTCTCTCTCTCTCTCTCTCTCTCTTTCTTTCTTTCTTCCTCTCTCTCCCTCTCTCTCTCTCTCTCTCTCTCCAGCCTTTGGGGCCAGCTGTGACTCCCTTAGCAGTGCCTCCAGCTGTGACCTTCCCCCAGCCTGTCCCCCTATTCTCTTCCCAGGGAGAGGGGGGCAAAACATCCCCAGCGAGCCCCTAGAGCCCCTTTCACAGCCTCACCTCCATCTGCCACCTTTACTGTTTGACACTCAGGTTTTTAGGGGTGTTTCTTTTCTTCATTTTTAATTTTTTCATTGACATCTTGTTTTTACATTAACTAGATTTTCCAGTATATCCCTTCTCCCCATTTCCACTCTGAGAGCCTCCTCCCTTATAGCCAAGAATAACAAAAAGGGACAAAGAAAACAGTTCAACAAAGTCAACCAACATCCACCAAGTGCAATTTCAGGCCTGTTTCCAATAGTGACTTGGAAATAGGGTCTGAACTCTGGACTCAAAATCGATCGGTGCTAATTTGCATATGACTGACAAGTTCAAGAAGAGGGTAGGAATAGGAAGTATAATCACTGATAATAATACTAGCTGAGAGGGACCTTAAAAATAAAGAATGTCAGCTCTGGGTAGAACCTTAGAACCCAGAAGGTCAGAGCTGGGAGGCCCCTTAGAACCCAGAATGGCAGAGCTGGGAGGGCCCTTAGAACCCAGAAGGTCAGAGCTGGGAGGGCCCTTAGAACCCAGAAGGTCAGAGCTGGGAGAGCCCTTAGAACCCAGAAGGTCAGAGCTGGGAGGGCCCTCAGCACCCAGAATGTTAGGGCTGGGAGGGAACCTCAGTTAAAAAGATCATCTAGTCCAGGGGTGGGGAACCTCTTGCCTCAAGGCCACATGTGGACCTCTAGATATTCAAGTACAGCCCTTTGACTGAAGTTTAGGACCCAGAGGGCCACATGTGGCCTCGAAGCAGCAGGTTTCCCATCCCTGATCTAGTCTAACCCATTTCATATTTCATATGGGGAAACTGAGGCCCAGAGAGCATAAATGATTTGCCAACAAGGACTCAGCCGCAGGTCTCCTGAGTTCCATGACATCATGTTGCCAACAGATCGTTTGGTCCAAATCCTTTGCTCTTTTCAAGGAGCAAACAGAAGTCTTGCCTAGTTACACAGCCGGGTCATGTTGGGGTGGAATTAGAACCCAGGTCTCTTACTCCCAAATCCAATGCTCTTTCCATTGTACCACACTTCCTTTTGTCTCCTGGAGCTAGACAAACAGGAGAAAGGCAGAAGACCTCCCTTTGTCCATATAGATCCGGACCCCTAGAGCAGTTAAATTACTTAGCCTCCCTGGGTTCGTTGGGGGGAGCTGTCCCAAGACAGCCATCAATGCTTGCCTACCCCTAGTTCTAAGTCCCAGAGCTGCTGGGGGTGAAGAGCTGGTTTTAGAGAGACCATTGAGTGACCTGCAGGTCTCTCCCGCAGAGGATGCCTGCCAGAAGCTGGCCATGGAGACCCTGGAGGAGCTGGACTGGTGCCTGGACCAGCTGGAGACCCTGCAGACCCGGCACTCTGTCAGTGAGATGGCCTCCAACAAAGTGAGTCAGCACCAGCTTCTCCGGGGAGGCTGGGCCGGAGGGCTAGGGTCCCATCCTGCCTCCCCCTCAGCCCCTCCACTCTGAACAGACTGATGAAATGGGGCTTTAAAAATATAGAATGTCAGACCTGATGAGCCCCTTAGGGCACAGCATGTCAGAGAACCTGCTTCCCCCAACTCCTGTCCCCACATTTACGGGTAGAGAAACTGAGGCCCAGAGGGGGAAAGCCCCTCAATACCAGCAAGTTAGTAGCTGAACTGGGACCAGAACCTTGGTCACTAGACTCTGTGGCACAGGGCTTTCCACTCCCCACCACAGTTGTGAGGGCCTAGCCGTTCCCCAGCCCCCGCCCCCTTCCTGTTTGCTCCGCAGATGTGTTCGTGGTCGGCCAGGCACAGCTGGCTCTGTGCGTCATTGGCCTTTTCTCCCCATCCTCTGAAGTAGATTTAAAACCCCAACCAACAAAGAAACAAGACCTCCCTGGCTAAGACCAGGCGGGCTGGGCCTGGCATCCCTCAGAGCCCAGGAGGCAGCCTCTGCTGCCTGGGGGAGAGGAGGGAGGGGTAGGGCCAGGGAGGTAACTTCTCAAAGTCTCTGAATGGTTCTGTGTCTCTGTCCTCGTGCATCTGTGTGTGGTAAGGTAGGAGGATGGGCCAGTGACAGCCCTCACCCCCTACAGACGCTCACGTACATTTGAAGCCAATCCAATACCTGAAAATCCAGAAATCAGCTTGAAGGATGAACTTGCGAAGGAATTCAGCAGAGCATAAAATTCACTTTAGAAGAGATTAGATTTACATGGGCATTTGCATTAAATACTGGTCTGTTGCACAAAGTGTGGTCTACTCGGTGAGACTATTCCCACTGGCACTGGATGCAGCTGCTGGGGGCCAGGGAGAGCCCATAAGACCTGGCTGAACCATTTCCCCCATTTTCTCTGTCCTGGTCAGTGATGCCTGAGGTCAAACACTAAAGGGAAAAAGGATGGGTGCTCGTGGGACATGAGGGTGCTCTCTATCTCCTGGGTGTTGTATCAGGGCAACCTACGTTATGCTGTAAAGTGGGAGTGGGGAGAGAGAACTGTGTTAGGTGGGAGAAGCTTTGGTATTGCTTCAGAATCCTCAGAGAATTTCCTGTAAGTGAGGGAAGGGCATGGGTGATGAGGGAGAGGGGATTAGATCTTTGAAGAAGGCTGTGAGAACCTTTGATATGCTGGATATCAGAGCCGGGCAAGATCTTAGAATTGTTGAATGTCAGAGTTGGCGGGGGTGGGGGGTGCCTTAGAACAGAGGATGGCAGAGCTGGAAGGGCCCTGAGAACACAGATGGTCAGAGCTGGGGGGGGGGGGGCTAGAACTCAGAATGTCAGAGGTAGGAGGGCCCTTAGAATAGAGGATAGCAGAGCTGGGAGGGCCCTGAGAACATAGAATGGCAGAGCTGGGAAAGCCCTTAGAACACAGATGATCAGAGCTGGGAGGGTCCTTAGAACATAGAATGTGAGAGCTGGGAGGGCCTTTAGAACAGAGGATGTTAGAGCTGGGAGGGCCCTGAAAACCCAGAATGTCAGAGTTGGGAGGACCCTTAGAACACAGGAACAGAGCTGTGAGGGCCCTTAGAACACAGGATGCCAGAGCTTGGAGGGGTCTTAGAGGCCATTTAGTAAAGACTACTCATCTTACAAAGAAAAAAGCTTAGGGAAAGAAAAGGTTTTTGGCTAGGTGATGATAAGAGGGAGTCTCAGGACGATAGCTCTTTCACTAGGCTCCAAACCACCTGCACCCAGATATCTCTTCCTCTCTAAGGAGAAACTGAGGCACAATTCCATCTGGGGGCTTTCCTCAGACAATCCAGTGAACAGAATTGGGTCATAACCCAAGCATACTAGCACCCAGACTCTCCTTGAGCCTCAGCTCTACAAAGGGGACCTCGTCCTCCTCCTTTGCTGGACATGAGGTTTCCAATGACATAGGCTCCCCAGTGGAGTTACAGGAAAGTGGAATAGGTGTTGGGGGTGATACTGAGGTTAAAGGGAAGAGGGGAGCCCAGGTCTACTGGGGATCTACATTTTATTTCCTCCCCACAGTTCAAGCGGATGCTTAACCGGGAGCTGTCTCACTTATCAGAGACCAGCCGCTCTGGAAACCAGGTGTCTGAATATATCTCCCGGACCTTTCTGGGTGAGTGGACCTCAGAGGGGACTAATCTGGCGAGGACGGGGAGGCTTCAGGTGCCAGGACATGTGGGTTTGGTTTGATTCCCAACTCTGCCACTGACCCACCATGAATCATAGGGTAACTCTCTGCCCTTCTCTAGAACTCAGCTTCCTCCTCCATAAAATGGGAGACTAATCCTTTCCCACCTCACAGGCACTAGTCTTTTGGGCTCCTTCCTGCCTGACTCCCCAAGGCTCAAAAATAGCTGTTGGGCTATACTTCCTGCACCATTTGTGTGCACGTAGTTGTTGAGGTCAGGGCCCATGTGCTCTTCTGCCTTTCTATGTATCCCTGGTGCTTAGCATAGTGCCTGGCACACAGTAAGTGCTTAATAATTACTTAGTGATTGATTGGTTATTGATTGGGAAAGGCTGGGATGGATAAGACCTGGCTCCCCCCCTTAACAGAACTCTCCAGTTGGTAGAAGGTGAGGAGAGCAGGAGCAAGGAGCAGGATGGGGGATGGAGAAAGTCATCTCACCTTTGTGAGTCTCAGCTTCATTATCTGTAAAAGGGGAGAGGTGGGCCTGCTGGCCTTTACGGTCCCTTCCAGGCCTAAAATAAAACCTGTGATGCTATAATCATTGATTGGCTCTGAGAGGTGAGGAACAGGGCAGAATCAAAGATAGCCTGGAGGTTTTGAACGCAGGAGACAAGGTCAAGGCGGGGCTCAGAAGCTGTGAAGTGAGAAGGACCAAGACTTGTGGGGCTTGTTGGGATGGGGGCCTTCTTGGGGTGGACATCCTGAAGGCAGGTGACGATTTGGGTCTGGAGCTTGGAAGGGAGGACAGAGCTGTGAGGACCCCTAGAACTCAGAATGTCAGAAGTAGGAGGGCCCTTAGAATAAAGGATGGCAGAGCTGGGAGGGCCCTGAAAACCCAGAATGTCAGAGCTGGGAAGGTCCTTAGAACACAGATGATCAGAGCTGGGAGGGCCTTTAGAACAGAAGATGTTACAGCTGGGAGGGCCCTTAGAACATAGAATGTCAGAGTTGGGAGGACCCTTAGAACACAGGATGTCAGAGCTGGGACGGACCTTAGAACACAGGATCAGAGTTGGGAGGGCCCTTAGAACACAGGATGCCAGAGCTAGAAGGGGTCTTAGAGGCCATTTAGTGGGATTCAAGAGTCCCCCGAAAAGGATTCCTAATTGAAGTCAATAAGATAGCGCTGGAAGTGAGAACCCCGGCCAGGCCATTGAGGGACTTCTGATCAGAAGGGCTCAAGTGGAGGACCAGGAGCCAGGAAGGAGGAGGAAGAGGAGGAATGGTCAGAGAGGTGAGAGGAGAACCAAAAAAGGGGCTCCGTCTGAAGCTGAGAGAAAAGTGAATCCTTTAGGGACACTTGGCAGTGTCAGAAGATACCGAGGGGTCAGGAAGGAGGGGAGAAGGGAGGGATACTCACACTGCCCATCAGTGACTAGGTCAAGCTTCAGACTTCCAAGGACTTCCAAGTCCAGAGCTCTGCCCAGTGCCCCGGCCCACTGTGGTATAGTGGACAAAGCACTGGACACATTAGCCGTTTGACCCTCTCTCTAGGAGTTTGGCCGTGGAAAGGAGGAGAGGTCTGGAACAAAAGCCAGAGGGATTGGCAGGGACTGGTGAAGGCTTTTAAGGATGGGGAGACCTTGGGAATGTTTGTAAGTTGTAAGGTAGGGAGATTAATGGAGGCAGGAGAATGACTGAGGGGACAAGCTGCCACAGGAGAAAAAAGGGCACAGGTGGAGGGGTTGGCCTCGGTGAGGAGAAGGGCTTCCTCTTCCTCTGAGACTGGAACAAAAGGAAGAATGGGAAGTGGTTAAGGGGCTTCAGAGGGGAAAAGGAGCTTGTGACAGATGGCCCCACGGTTTTCAGTTAAGGACAAGGTAAGCATGGTCCCGGCTAAGAGGGAGGAGGTTGGAGAGGAAAGAGAATCTCTAGGTCTGGGTTCTCTCCTGACCTCTGACCCTGAGTCCTCAGCTGCCTGGTTGGACATCTCCACCCGGATGTCCCACAGGCTCCTCAGACTCAGTCTGCCCGAAGCAGAAATGGGTCATCCTTCCTTCTAGAGCCAGACCTAGCCCTGTAGAGAGTATCTCAGGTACCCAGGCATACAGGCTCTGAGTCCTCCTAAACTCCTCACTCTCCACATCCAGTCCATTACTAGGACTCATCAATCCTTCCTCCACCATCTCTGCCATCTTTGCCCCTCTTTCCACTCACTTCATTCATCGCTTCTTACCTGATCTATGGTGATAGAGGAAAAAGAGACAGACAGAGAATATGAGAAAGAGAGAAGATATGAGAGAGGGGCAGAGGAGAGGCTGCTTTTTATTAAGCACTTGCTGTATGCCAAGCACGGTGCTAAGTGCTGAGGATTCAGACAGAGGTGGGAGAGAAGGCAGCTGGCGACAAAGCGGAGGGTCCAGGAGTGAAGTGATCAGGGCTAGGACCCCTCGTGAAATGGCAGCCTGGGCTGGGGACTTATGATCAGGGGAGCTTTCTAATTGATGTCCCTCTTGTCCAGTCTGTCCTCCCGAAATCATCATCTTCAAGCCTGACTGGGTTATTTCCCTCCTCAAAAATCTTCAGTGGATCTCTTTTGCCTCTAGGTTAAAACACCAATTCTTTGGCCTGGTGTTTAATCTGGATCCCACTAATGTTTCCAGGCTGAATTCTTAGCAATCCCCATCACAGAATCTACATTCCAGCCAACCTGGACCATTTCCCAAATTCAGCAATATACGGGGTCTCCTGTGTCTGTGTCTCTGCACATAGGCTGTCCCCCAATCCGCTCTTTCTCTGCCTTTCAGAATCCTTCTCATCCTTCAGGTTCTGTCTCCTCTGGGACCCCTTCCTCGATCCCCTCAGTCTTGATGCTCTTTTGCTCCTCAAATCGGCTTTGTATCTCTCATATATTTCAAGGCATAATAAAAGTAGCTCAACAGAAACTTGAGATGTGCAAATTTTGGGATCTCTCCATCCAAATGTCCCTACAGACTATTTGTACCTGACTAGTGGTAGAGCCTTCTGAGCTTGTATTGGTCTGATCAGCCGCAGTTGGACACACTGAACATTGACACTGACATCACAATGTCCTTTTGCTTCTCTTCGAGCATGAAGGACAAACAACAATATCTTGTGTGTGTGCACATGTATGTGTTACATTTCTCCTGCTCTCAGAAGTAAATAGGGTCCCCAGGGATGGGGATGCAGAGGATCCTAGTCCTACAACTGGAAGGGACCTCAAAGACCATTCAGTCCAGTCCCTTCTTTTTACAGATGAGGAAACTGAGGCCCAGAGAGGTTAACATTTTTTGTCTCTGTATTCCCAGCACCTAACACCATACACTTTGAAGTCATTTAGTAAATGTAGAATGGAATTGAATTTGGGCTCTGAGGAGTTGACACTGTCCATCAGTCCACACAAGCATTTATTGTGTGCCAAGCAGGCGCTGGCTTAGGGGCTAAGGAGACGAGACAAAGATGGGATAGTGCCTGTCCTCAAGGAACTTCCATTCTGGTGAGAGCAAGGACACGTACATAGTGAAGTGTACACAGAATCATTGTGGGATAAAATCTGGAGGAAAGGACCACAGTATTCTTGCAGGGGCAAGACCAGGAAAGGCTTCGTATAGCAGCAGTCACCGGAGCAGAGTTTTGAATCAACAAGTATGTATTAAGTACCTACCATGCTCCAGGCACTGTAAGGGGCTGGGGATACAAAAATTGAAGAGGTAGAAAGTAAGGTGGAAGAGCATTCCAGGCAAGGCAGCCAATGCAAAGTTGTAGAAATAGGCAGTGGGGCATCTGGTTAGGTGCAGCAAGACCAGCTGGGTGGCAGCTAGGAGGATGCCAGAGTGCACAGAGCACTGGATCTGGAGCCAGGAAGGCCTGAGTTCAAAATCCAACCTCAGACACTTATGAGCTGTGTGACCCTGAGCAAGTCATTTAGCCGCTGTCTGCCTCAGTTTCCCTTTCTGTAAAATAGGGATCATAAAAGCACCTACCTCCCAGGGTTGTTGTGAGGATTATATGAGAGAGTATTTGCAAAACACATTGTAGACCCTAAAGCACTGTGTAAATGCTAGCTGTGATGGCTAGACAATAGAGTAAGAAAAGAGAAGTAATGTGAATGAAGGTGGGAAGAGTATGTCAGAGCCAGCAAGGGAAGAATGAAACCAAAAAGGTTATATTTGATCCTAGACGTAATAGGGAGCCATTGCCGTTCATAGGAGGTGACTGAGTCACTACAGAAAAATCATTTAGGCAGTTGTGTGAAGGACAGAATGGAGAGGGGAGAGACTGGAGGCAGGAAGAACAATTAAGAGCCTGTTGCAGGAGGTGGGGATCCTCAGGTGTGGAACGTTGCATATTTTGTCAGATTTTTTTTAGTGTCTTAATTGTTTTTGCTGATTTTTAAAATAAAATTTTGTGATGAAGAATGGCTGGGGGAAAGGGGGATGGATATAGTGGGAATTATAAGCCACGTAAAAACAAATGATCTCAGCAAAAATATATTTGAAGAGAGTATTACAATGGTAAGAGGGAATACCCAAGCTCTCACCCTGGGCTATACACCCACTGCTTTCCTTCAGATAAGCAGCATGAGGTAGAGCTCCCCTCCATGCCGGTGAAGGAGAGGGAGAAGGAGAAGGAGGAGAAGGAAAAGGAGGAGCGGCCGATGTCTCAGATCAGCGGCGTTCGCAAGCTAACACACGGCTCCAGCTTCTCAGCAGCTGCCATTCCTAGATTTGGCGTGAAGACCGACCAGGAGACGCTGCTGGCAAAGGTGCGCTCTGGGCTGGGGAGAAGGGACGTGTGTGCTGGGTGCTCCTAACCCCTTCCCATCTCCCGAGGGGGTTTTGCAAAGGGAAGAGCCCAAAGCTACTAGCTGGAAGCAGGCTGGAGAGGGCCTGCCTTACATCTCAGGGGAGTAGGTGATGGGCAGGGGGCTCAGACAGGAAGCCTCTTTTCTCTCCTCTGTGGGGCAGCTTTCTCTGCTAGGGTAGAGTTGCCAAGCATAGTGGCCAGAGCTGAATTTGGAATCTGAGTTTGAATCCCTGCTTTCCGCCTTATTTACTTATGTGACCTGAGGCAAATCAATCACTTAACCTCTCTGGGCCTCAGTTTCTCCATCTGTGAAATGAAGGGATTGGAGTCGATCTCTAAATTCATTGTATGAACTCTCTCTCATGGCCCACTCTCTGTTCCAGGAGCTGAAAGACACAAACAGGTGGGGTCTGGATGTATTCAAGGTGGCCGAGCTCTCTGGACACCGCCCACTGACGGCCATCATGTATAGCATCTTTCAGGTACGGCCCATGGACTTGTCCCTCCCTCACCCTGGGCACTTAGCATCAGGGTCTCCTGGAGGCTCAGAGCTCTCTAGACCCAACTCCCTCCCCACGTAGGAATCCCTATAAATTACACGGATCTGAAGCACATTCCCTCTTGAGACAACCCAAACCATTGGAAGGCGGCTGTGATTCACCAGTGGATGCTCTGTATGGGTCCCAGACTGTGAATTCAAAACTACACAGTCCCTGCCCTCATGGGGAGGCAGCATGATGGAATGGGCAGAAGGCTGGAATCCTGGTGCCAGCCCCTCTGAGCCGTGTGACCTTGGAACAAGTCTCTCAACCCATCAAGCAAGGAAGGCCTCAGTTTCCTCATCTTTCACATGAGGACTTCAGATGACTTGAACCCTATGATTCCTTCCTATGATTCTCTGACCTGTCTTGGTCTCAGTTTCCTCATCTGTAAAATGGGGATAATCACAGCACCTCCCTCTCAGGGTTGTTCTAAGGGTCAAATGAGATAATAAGTAAACTGCTTTGCAAAGCTTTAAAACACTGTATAAGTGTTAGTTATTACTATTATATCTCTGGTCCCTCCCGGCTCTAAATCTAAGGTCATGTAACCTCTCTGGGTCTCAGTTTCCCCGTCTATAAAACAGGAGCTTTGGACTAATTAATCTCTAAGGCCCTTCCAGCTTCCGAACTTTTGACTCAGTTTCCTCTCTCGGTCCCACACCCAGGAGCGGGACCTACTAAAAACCTTCCAAATCCCGGCGGACACCCTGGTCACCTACCTGCTGACCCTGGAAGACCATTACCATGCGGATGTGGCCTATCACAACAGCATCCACGCGGCAGACGTGGCCCAGTCCACCCACGTACTCCTGTCTACGCCAGCGCTTGAGGTTCGGGGGCGAGGGGCAGGGGGAGCCCCGACAGCCGCAGCTCCCGAGGCCACTGAGATGACATTCGTAAAGCATTTGGCTCAGTGCCCGGCAAATCGTAGATGCTTAATAAAGGCTTCTTCCCTGCCCTTCTTCCTCCTTCCCTCCCTTGCTCCCATCCACTCCCACCTTGCCCTCCAAGGTCACAGAACTAGAGCAGGCAGAGGGAACCCTGGCCTAGCTGAGTCTGGTGTCTCTGGGGTGCTCCTTTCACGGATCTGGATTCCACAGTGAGTGTGGGTTCTCTCCCTGCCCGTCACCCGCCGTCCCCCCTGCCAATAACTCTGTATCTGTCTCAAGGCTGTTTTCACCGACCTGGAGATCTTGGCCGCCATCTTTGCCAGTGCCATCCATGATGTGGATCACCCCGGGGTCTCCAACCAGTTTCTGATCAACACCAGTGAGTGGGGGCTGCACCTTGGCCCCAAGGCAGCCCAAGACCCTGAAATGAGTTTGGGCTGAGTTTGGAGGGTGAGAGGAGGGGGAGACCTGGACCGAGGGGGAAATTGCCCCACCTTATTGAAGCTGAAGAGTTCTGGGCTGGGAACCAGAAGACCTGGGTTTGAGTTCTAGATCTGCCTCTGGTTTGCTGTGTGACCTTGGGAGAGCTCCTTCCCTTCTCTGGGCTTTGTAGGATCATGGGATTTGGAGATGGAAGGGACCCCAGAGATTGTGTGGTCCAATACTTCATCTCACAGAGGGAGAAACTGAGTCTCAAAGGTGAGCAGTGACTGCCTGTGTCCCCACGGCTAAATGAGAACCAGGATTCACACCCAGGTCCTCTGAATTCCCATCCGAATCCCCAAATACTATGCCAGCCTGGCCTTTATCATCCACAAGATGAGGGGGTTCAGACTAGATGCTTCAGGCAACTTGGGCTGCTCAGAGCTTTCCCCACTTCATGCCTTTTTTCGTGTCATTCCCTCCTGGGTCTCTGCCTGTTCAATTCTGACTCAAGAATTCTGTTCAATTCTTGAAGGACTCTTCAAGACCTCCACCAGGAAGCTTGTCCTGGTCTGCCCAGACAGAGGTCATCCAGAGCAGAGGAGGCAAACACACGCCTCCCAGTGTGGCCCAAACCAGATTAAATTGCAATCATGGCAGGGGGGGCAGCTAAGTGGCACGCTTAGGTCTATTTTATAGATGAGAAAACTGAGACTTGGAGTGGTTAAATAACTTACCTGTGATCACATCATAATAATAATAATGATAATGATAAGCATTTATTGTGTGGCACATATATTATATGGCCCTTTGATGTTTATAAAGTACTTCAAACATCTCTCATTTGGCCCTCAGAATAACCCCGTTTATTGTTGTTGTCATTCAATCGATGAGTACCATCCGACTCTTTGTGAACCCATTAGGGGTTTTCTTGGCAAAGATAGTGGAGCAGTTTGCCATTTCCTTCTCCAGTTCATTTTACAGATGAGGAAACTGAGGCAAACAAGGTGAAGTGACTTGTCCAGGGTCTCACAACTAGTAAGTGTCTGAGGCCGAATTTGAACTCGGGTCCTCCAGACTCCAGGCCCAGCACTCTATCCGCTGCGCCACCTAGCTGCCCTTAGATGGTATCATTATCCCCATTTTAAAGATGAAATTAAGGCTGGGTGAGGTTGAGATGACCTGCCTCTAGTCACACAGCTAGTAAGTGTCTGAGACAGAATTCAAACTCAGGCCAATCTTGGTGACAGAGAGATACCTGAGTTCAAATCCCACCTCTGATACCTCCGTGACATGGGGTAAGGTCCCTTTAACACTTACATATTATGTTATGTAATTATTCAAACCTTTATATGTTTTTCATTTACAATTGCGCAATCATTGTAAATGATCACAAACACTATTTTGTTGACAAAGTCTTTCCAACAAGTTGTCAGCTTGTATCAGGGAGGGAGTTTCCATACTGTTGGGGTGCTTTGGGCGAGTCCTCAGGACCCTCCAAAAAAGCCGCATCAGTAGCAATCACCATCACTACCATAATATTTTATTATTTCTTTTTTGGGCTGGGCAGTGGGGTTAAGTGACTTGCCCAGGGCGGCCGCACAGCCAGTAAGTGTCAAGTGTCTGAGGCCGGATTTGAACTCAGGTCCCCCTGACTCCAGGGCTGGTGCTCTATCCACTGAGCCACCTAGCTGCCCCACCACCACCACCATAATAAAAATGTTACAAGTAATAGATCACCTGCAGAGAGGTTTCCTCACAGCAGCCCCAGGGAATGATGCAACATCACTAGCCCCATTTCAGAAAAACAAGGCTCAGAGGAAGGAACGAACCGGCCCAGGGTGACACAGCAAGGCAGTTGTGGGGTCCAGGTCCTGCGTCTGAGTCTCCAGGCCCTGCCCCAAACCTTGCTGGATCAGTAATGCTGGCGCCCTGGGCTGCCCCTGCATGTCTCAGACTCAGAGCTGGCCCTCATGTACAACGATGCCTCTGTCCTGGAGAACCACCATCTGGCCGTGGGCTTCAAGCTGCTCCAGGAGGACAACTGCGACATCTTCCAGAACCTGAGCGCCAAGCAGCGGCAGAGCCTGCGAAAGATGGTCATCGACATGGTGAGAGGGCCGAGGGCAAGGGATGGGGGCTGGGGGAGCAGCCGACGAAACCCGGCACAGGCAGGCCACTGGCCTGGGGTGACAGCCCAGCTCTGCCCCAATGCACGCCGGGACCTGGAGAAAATCCTGTCTCGTCTCTGGACTCAATGTCTCCCTCCATGACATGGAGGAATTTGTGCTACATTGTCTCTAAGGGTCCTTCCAGCTTTGATGTTCTGGGTTCTACGTTCTAAGGGCTCTCCTAGCTCTGATGTTTTGTGTTCTATGTTCCAAGGACCTTCCCAGCTCTGACATTCTATGTTCTGAGGGCCCTTCCATCTCTCACATTCTATGTTCTGAGGGCCCTTCTAGCTCTGACATTGTTCTGTGTTCTGTGTTCTGAGGGCCTTCCCAGCACTGACATTCTTTGTTCTAAGGGCCCTTTCATCTCTCACATTCTATTTTCTAAAGGCCCTTCTAG